GGAGGGAGGGAGGGAGGAAGGAAGGAAAGGTGGGTCTCCCAAAGTGATAATTCCCTTAACAGGCCAAACTTTGTGGTCAAAGTGAGACTTTGAGCCACTTTATTACTAGTTCATTGAAGATATTTAGTGAATACTTTTTATCTACAGTAAGCACTAGAAATATAAATCAATGTAGCTCTTCCCTCAAGCAGGGGACAAAAACAAATAGAATATTTTTAAAAAATACAGTAACAAAACTGTGCTGAGTAAGAGATTATTAGGCTTAATACCTTTATTTATTGCCAGTCCTGGGCTTGAACTGTCTGGGCGCTGTCCCTGTCCCTGAAGCTTTTTGCTCATAACTAGCCCAGGAAGGAAAGTCCATAAGAAACTTTTTTGGTCCTTCGTGGGGCTTGAATTCTGGGCCTGTGTGTTGTCCCCTCAGCTCTTTAGCTCAAGGTGAGTTCTCAACTACTTGAGCCACAGCATCACTTCTGGTTTCCTGAGTTGTTTATTGGAGCCCAGGCTGGCTTTGAATGGTGATCCTCAGATCTCAGCCTCCTGAGTAGCTAGGATTACAGGCGTGCCTAGCCCATGAGGCTTTTATCTCCAATAAACCACCAGAAAACTGCAAGGGGCACTGTGGCTCATGTGGTAGAGCACCAGCCTTGAGCTGAAAAGCTGAGGGACAGCCCAGGCCTAGAGTTCAAGTCTCACAACTGACCAAAAAACAAAACAAAACAAGACACCCCCCAACTAGCTCTCTATTTCTGGCTTTTTTTGGTGCTTAATTAAGAATCATATGGACTTTCTGCCCAGGCTGGCTCTGAACCTCCTCATTAGCTAGGATTATACACTTGTGATATCAGCACCCAATCCTTTTTTTTCTCTGTGCCAACACATGGGCTTGAACTCAGGGTCTCGCAATCTTGCTTGGTTTTTTCACTCAAGGCTGGCCCTCTGCCACCAGAACTACACATAATTCCAGTTTTTTGCTGGAGATAAAAATCTCATGGCCTGGGTGCCAAAGGCTCAAGCCTGTAATTCTAGCTACCCAGGAGGCTGAGATCTGAGGATCAAAATTCAAAGCCAGCCCAGGCAAGGAAAGTCCGTGAGACTCTTATCTTCAATAAACCACTAGAAAACCGGAAGTGGTACTGTGGCTCAAGCGGTTAGAGTGCTTGCTTGAGCTGAAGAACTGAGGGACAGCACCCAAGCCCAGAGTTCAAGCCCCCTGACCAAATCTCATGGACCCTTTTGCCTGCATTGGCTTTGAACAATGATCCTAAGATGTCAGCATCCTAAGTAGCTAGGATTACCAGGGTGAGGCACTAGTGCCCAACTTAGGCTTAACTCCCTTAGGTATCCTTCCCTTTACCTCTGACACTTGTCTTAAAATAAGAGAAGTCAACCTTTTCTCTGCCTAACTATATTGTAAAGCCTTGACACATAGAATACTCACTACTATGAACAGATACAGAGATATGAGAAAACAGCTGGAGACATACTCATAAAAAAGATATGCCTCCTAAATGGATGTGGCTCAGTGTTAAAATACTTGCTTAGCATGCACAACAGCACTGTGTGGGAGAAGGGAGCAGGATATGCTACCTTTGCAGCATTTATATTTCCAGACTGAACTTTTCTTCCAGATTCACGCTTTGTATTCTGGCCTAAAACAGATAAAAACATAAGTCAACAGCCAAGGTTTGTCCATGGTACACAAGCTACATAATACTCAGTTTTTGCAAATAAAAACACACAGGTGTTGGGTGACTGTGGCTGACGCCTGTAATAGTTGCTGAGACAGGGTTACTCTACATAGCTCAGGCTGGCCTTGAACTTAAAAGATCCTCCTGCCCCCCTCCAGCCACTGTGTGTACAATCCTTTGGCAGTTTTCCCACACTCTTAAGTCTCCTAAACTTCTAGCAGGGGCTCTCTGTAATGCAGTTTTTTAAAAATTCTTAACCAGGGGCTGGGAAGGTGGCTCAGTGGTAGAGGGCTTGCCTTGCAGCATGAGGCCCTGGGTTTGATTCCTTAGCACCACATAAGCAGAAAAAGCTGGAAGCGGCACTGTGGTTCAAGTGGTAGGGTGCTAGCCTTGAACTGAAGAGTTGAGGGACAGCACCCAGGCCCAGAGTTCAAGCCCCATGACTGAAAAAAAAAAAATCTGGGCCAACACTTCCCCTCTAAACATTCAGGGATCCATAACCTGAGACCCATGAACGGACCTTAGCACGAAAGTGAACTCCTCAAAAATGAGTTTTTTGTGTGTATTTCTGGAAAAAGGATCCATAGCTATCTTTAGAGTCTCAAAGGACTAGTGATGAGGATCACGCTGTTAGTGAAAGCTTAATTTCAACTGCATGCTGTGGAATAAGAATACACTCTCCTAAAGTGTTCTGGTTAGCAAAACAAATTATTAGTCACCCCATGCTTGGACCTCTTAAGAATGCCTTGTGGGGGCTGGGAAGGTGGCTTAGTGGTAGAGTGCTTGCCTTGCATGCATTAGGCCCTGGGTTCAATTCCTTGGCATCACATAAGCAGAAAAAGCTAGAAGTGGTGCTGTGGCTCAAGTGGTAGAGCGCTAGTCTTGAGCTGAAGAGCTGAGGGACAGTGCCCAGTCCCAGAGTTCAGGCCCCACAACTAACAACAACAACAGAACTCCTTGTAATCCATCAGTAAAAGTTAGCTATAGAGTTTAATTGCTAGACTTATACACACCTGGAAATAGCTTTTATAAATGCAATATACCCCCAGCTCTCTTTTCACTAGCCAGTAGTCTGACATGATTACCCTTCCCCCATTATACATTTCCTTACAGTTTAAATCATTAAGTCTCCTACCCCATTTCCAAAAATCTAACACCCGTTTCAGGTAGTGGCAGCCATAAAAGTCTTCATTGAACTATACTCCAATAGAAAGAATACATGCTCCCACCCCAAGGTTAAACGATCTTTTCCCAGACATAGTTAAAAGAAAGTATTGACCAACATTGTGTTATACAAGGGATACTAAGAAGGGGGTAATGGCTAGTACACAAGTTATAAAGGAAACACAATGGAGGTAGTGCTCATTACCCAGAGAGATGAGGGATATCTCTAAAGGGAAAACGAAACCATCAGAGAAATTTGGGGAAACTCAACTCGTTAGTGGGAAAGCTTACATCCCAGACTAGTGCGGAAAACAAATTGCTTCAGAAAGACTGTTAAAGACAGAAAAGAAACGAAGACAGAAGATGCCACTTACAATTTGACAGAGCCCTCTTTTTAAGCGGCTTACCTACCTACACAAATTCTACGAGAAATACTATTAACCTTGTAACACTAGCGGAAAAACACTCAGTTTTGCCTATAGTCATACTGCTAGTAATGGGTTGAGACGAGGATGTAAAGGTAGGCCTAACTTTAAGACCCATTATTCACTCAGCGGCTGCAGGGGCGTGGAAGGGGTGGCCGCGGAGGGAAAGAGCTTCCCGAGACAAGCACGTGGAAAGACCAGAGACTCGGCCAGGGGAAAGTCAGTTTGCACAGTGAGGCGAACATAGCTAAAGAAAAAAGAAGGCGGAAGGACTTCCAAAAACGAGAGGGTAACTGAAAGGCTTCGTTGGCCAGGTCATGGCGGGACGGACTGGGGCAACACTCTAAAGTGTGGAAAGAGGAGGAGAAAGAAAAAGAGTCCCTTCCCTGTTCCCCTAAAACTTACTGAGTACGAGAACGGGACGGTGGCCCATCATGGCGGCGCGATGCAAAGCCGGGTACTCAGACCCGGGAGAACCCGCAGAACCTTCTGGAGAGAGAGAAAGAGAGAGAACCAGGGAGAAGCACAGAAAACGCTGCCTCCTCAGAGTTGACACCTTAACCCGCTACTCTTCGAGTTGCCACCAATCACCTTACTCACTTTGTTGACTGACACTAAAACAGACCAATAGACGTATTAGCTCCGCCTCCAACGCGAGAACAGCAGTGCAAGCTAGATAGAGAAAGCACGATGATGGAAATGAGAAGGCACAGGCGCTTGCGCAATGGGGTGGCCGCTCCCGGCCGCGTGCAGAGTGAACGTCAGCGCAAGCGCAGAGACTGAAGCCGTTAGCCATCATGTGATGCGCATGCGTATCAACTATTGGGCGGGTATTGGGGCTAAGGCTTTGGATCAACGCCGCAGTTAAGGTCAGGAAACTGGAAGTTGTTCGTTGGCTTCTGTTGATCCGTGAAGGTCGAGAGCGGCATGACAGTTTCTACTGTTTTATCCCAGCCATAGCAACGGGGAGGAATAGACAGGGACGGGACTGAAATGGCAGTTGAAGGAAGACCTGGCCGGTTGGAAGCAGGGTGAAGTGTTGTCCCGTGGAGCCGGGTTGGGCGGCGACGATCCTTTTCCCTAGGCACGCTGGGAGTTGTGGTTTGTCGCCTCTCATTCGGTGTTGTGTGTGGATTTTTGCCCTTCTTAGGCAAACCCTTTCTTAGACTGTGAGCGGTGTTGGAGTTGCGTGTTGAGTTACGTGTTCCTCGAGTGACCACATCTACACATTTTTTCTCAAAGTAGTGCTTTGAGATAATTCTTTTCCCACATCCAGTTACCCCTCTCCCGCCCTTATTCTCCCCAAGTCCGTTAAAGAACTTGGGGGAGACAAATATTCATTACCACAATGAATAGGAAAAAAGGGTAACACTGCAAAAAAAAAAACAATCAGAGGGACTGGGAATGTGGCCTAGTGGTAGAGTGCATTACTAGCATGCATGAAGCTCTGGGTTCAATTCCTCAGTACCACATAAGCAGAACAGACCAGAAGTCGCTCTGTGGCTCAAGTGGAAGAGCGCTACCCTTGAACACAGAGAGGCTGAGGGACAGTGGTCAAACCCCAGGACTATTAAAAAAAATCAGAGAATATGGAAGCTAATTACCTGTTTGTAAGAGACTCTTTTTCCTTTTCTTGTGTGTGTGTGTACCGCGGGTACTGGGGATTGAAACTCAGGGTCTCATCCTCTTGGCTGGTGCTTTACTACTTGGGCCACACCTCCACTCCGAATTTTTTAAAATTTAATTACTTTTGCTAGTTAATTGGAAATCTCTGCTTCCTGAGTAACTAGGATTACAGGCAAGTTATGAGGCTTTTTTTTCTTCTTCTTCAGTTGTGGGGCTTGAATTCAGGGCCTGGGCATTGCCCTTGAGCTTTTTTTTTTTTGGTCTAGTCGTGGGGCCTGAACTCTGGGCCTGGGTGCTGTCCCTCAGCTCTTCAGCTCAAGGCTAGCACTGTACCATTTGAGCCACAGCGCCACTTCCAGCTTTTTTTTTTTTTCTTTTTCTGCTTATGTGGTGCTGAGGAATCCAGGGCCTCATGCATGCAACGCAAGCGCTCTACCACTGAGCCACCTTACTAGCCGTGCCCTTGAGCTTTTGTGCTCTACCACTTTAGCTCTCTACCACTTTGAGCTATAGCTCCACTTCTGGTTTTATAGTGGTTAATTGGAGATAAGAATCTCATGAATTTTCCTGCCTGGGCTGGCTTTGAACTGGATCCTCTCAGATCTCACCCTCTTGAGTAGCTTGGATTACAAGCATGAGCCACCAGAGCCAGGCTTTGTAAGACCCCCCTCCCCGCTCTGGCTTATTGAGTAGCTTATTGGAGATAAAAGTCTCACTGACTTTCCTGCCCAGGTTAGCTTCCAACTGCAATCCTCAGATCTCTGCCTCCAGAGTAGCTAGGATTATAGGCGTGAGCCACCTGCGACCAGTTAGTAAGATACTCTTAAGGTTTGGATTTTGTCTGTTTTGTACAGAGGAAAAGGAAGCAATAATAGTAACGACTTCCAGCAAAAGGAATGTGAGAGAATGAGCAATTCAATAAGCCACATTTGCCATGGAACAGAATACTCCTTAACATTTCTTCCTCCCCAAATTGGAATAGCTCAGTTGGATCTGCCTGAGATAATTTATGGAATTGGCAGTGGTAAAAATAAGCTTGGGTTATTTGATTATGTGATGCTATGATTCTTTCCCAGGCACCACACCTTTTGGTGTTCGATGGAGCAGCACACTAGTCATCCCACTAACAGAAAAGGTGTGTGTTGGAGGCCCTACTTCCCTCCCCATCAAAGCCAGAGGTCTAATTGCCCTGCATTTGGGGATACTAGTTTTATGTGTGTCTTTTTCTTTGTTTTTTTGGGGGGAGGAGGGAGAGTGAGGGAGGGAGGGTCGTGAAGCTTGAACTCAGGGCCTGGAGACTGTCCCTGAGCTCTTTTTGCTCAAGGCTAGCCCTCTACCACTTCAAGCCACAGTGCCACTTCCAGTTTTGTGGGTGGTTAATTGGAGATAAGAGTTTCCTGGAAGCCGGGTGCCACTGGCTCATGCCTGTAATCCTAGCTATTCAGGAGGCTGAGATCTAAGGATCAAAGCCAGTCAAGGCTGAAAAGTCACCGTGAGATTCTTATCTCCAGTTAACCACTAGAAGACTGGAAGTGGCAGTGTAGCTCCAAGTGGTAGATCACTAGCCTTAAGCAAAGAAGCTCAGGGTCAACGTCCAGGTTGAGGCCCTAAGTTCAAGCCCCATAACTAACAACAATAATAATAACAAAAAAGGGTTTCACTCCTGTCTGGGCTGGCTTTAGATGGCAATCTTCAGATCTCAGCCTCCTGAGTAGCTAGGATTACAGGTGTGAGCCACTGACACCAGGCTTGTCATTGTTTGTTTGTTTTTTTAATCTCCTGTTAACTGTTTAATTGGAAAGTACTTTTGCCCAGCATCAGTAGCTCATGTCTGTAGTAATCCTAGGTACTCAGGAGGCTGAGATCTGAGGATCACGATCAAAGCCAGCCTGGGCAGGAAAGTCTGTGAGACTCTTATCTCCAATAAACCACCAGAAAACCAGAAGTGGCACTGTAGTGCAAGTGGTAGAGCACCAGCCTTGAGCTGAAGAGCTCCCAGGCCCAGAGTTCAAGTCCTATAACCAGCCAAAAAAGAAAAAAAAGAAGTACTTGTGTTTTGTGTATTCCTCACTAAAAGGATCATTACTGTATTTCCTATACCAAGAACTGGACCTGATAAATAGATGCTTAGTCATTATTGAATTAATGTATTCTTCCTTTCTGTTAGGCTTCTTAATACTTAGAACAAGACTTTGTATTGCAGGGATCTCACTAAATAAAGCAAACAGGTCCTCAGTTTGAATGGGAAAAACCCACTGGTGGTCAGGGAAGTATATGAATCCTGAATCTATCCACTTAACTGTGGGTGGTAGATTTTTTTTAATCTGTGAGACTGACTACTATGCCTTAGCTGGGACATTTAAGTTAACTAGCTCTTTTTACAATTACAGAAGTGGTAAAGGCATGGCTGTGGAGTCTCCAGGCCCAAGATTAATTCCAGCACTGCCACATGCTAGTTGTCCAGTCCTGAGCTAACTTTCAACTTAAGTTTTCTCAATAAGATGTTCATAATGGGGCTGGGAATGTGGCTTAGTGGTAGAGTGCTTTCCTAGCATGCATGAGGCCCTGGGTTTGATTCCTCAGTATCACATAATCAGAAAAAGCCAGAAGTAGCACTGTGACTAAAGTGGACAGTTCCTAGGCCCTGAGTTCCTGCCTCAGAACTGGCAAAACTAAATAAAATAAAATGTTGATAATATTACCTATTTCATTGGGTCATTGTAAAAAATAAATACATCCTAGGGTCATGGTAAAAAATATATCAAATGTCAGGTGCCAGTGGCTCATGCCTGTAATCTTATCTACTCAGGAGGCTGAGATCTAAGGATCAAGGTTCAAAGCCAGGCCAGGTAGGAAAGTCTGTGTCTGTTATCTCCAGTAAACCACCAGAAAACAAAGTAGTGCTGTGGCTCAAGTGGTTAAAGATATATATATGATATATATATATATGTATATATATCAAAGACTGTATGTATATAAAGCACCTTTACTGTTTTTTTTTTTGTTTTGTCTCCTTGTGTTGCTCCCTGATCTTATTCTTTAACACATTTCCATTTTCATAGATTCAGTGATTCACCAACAGAAAGCACCTATCACTTAGTGTGAGCACATATTTCTTTTACAATCCTATTTCTTCTGGGACACTTTGAATAAATGAAAATTTTCATATATAAGACATTCTTCATATAATCTGCTTGTCACACCTCTGCCCCAAGAATGTTTTTTCATGATGAGACCCCTTTTTATCCTTCAGATCCTAGTTGAGATACTTCTTAGGACAAATTCCCTAACTCCATGGTCTCTGAGGAGCTCTCACAGCACTTATGGGTAGAATAATGTGCATGCTTTATCACTTAATTACTCTCTACAATGCAAAATTGTTCTAGGAAAGTATCAATCACATCGATAGCCTACTGTGTTATCCTGATACATTTTTAGGCACTTAGCTATCTCTTATATGAGATGATATGATTGAATGATTTCTGTTTTATTCCCCCTTTTCTCTTTTTTAAGTGCTGTTGAACCCAGGGCCTTGTACATGTTATGCAAGTGCTCCATCACTGAGCAGCACCCTAGTCCTGTTTTTTTTTTTTTTTTTTTGGACGGACAGGGGGCTTAAACTCTGGGCCTTGATGCTGTCCCTGAGCTTTTTAGCTCAAGACTAGTGTTTTACCACTTGAGCCACAGCACCACTGGTGGTTAATTGGAGAAAAGAGTCTCATGGACTTTCCTGCCCAGACTGGCTTTGAACCTTGATCCTCAGATCTCAGCTTCCTGAGTAGCTAGGTATAAGTAGGTATGAGTATCTAGGAGTAGTAGGTATGAGCCACTGGAACCTGGCACCAGCACCTAGCACCCTAGTTCTGTTTTTTATTGGTCTTTTTCTTCCTTGGTGATCTAAGTTATTGACTCCCCAGTGACACAAGTACTTTCATTGTTTCCAAGTCCCAACGGTTCTATTTTTCCATGCATTATTCTTCCACCTACTTTACCACTTCCTTTTCCTTTCATCTCTGACTCCTGAGGAAGAATTACTCAATTATCCAGTTTTCTTTCTCTTTTTTAAAATTTTGCCATGGAGAGCGAATTTATTTTATTTATTTAATAAAAATGATTTTCTTGTACATTGAAGACAATGTATTTGCTCACTTTGCTTCCCTGTATGTATATGCCCCCATCTCCTTGTCTCTCCCCACTAATTTATTTTTATAGCTGCTTCATCTTTTTATGGCTGGCCTGGATATTTTGCCTTTCATCTAATCTTAGTTCCATATCTTATTTCTATTTGGATTTTCTACTCTCTCTTCAAAATTTCATATATCTAAAATATGATTATGGTACTATAATAGCAGCTTAACTTAAACTTGCATAAAAAGAATAATTTAGGGACTTCTGCAATTGGGAGGGACACGTGGTAGCTCACATAATAGGAGGAAGGGCTGCAAAAACTAGGGCATTAGAACTGGGGGTTCCATGCTTGTTGGTATCTCTCTTCCTTTCTCTCTCTTTCTCTCTGTCTTTCCTCTGCCTCTTTCTTTGTGCCAATACTGGGGATTGAACTTAGGAATTAGTTCTCTTACTTGGCTTTTTCCTCTCAAGGCTGGTGCTCATCTTGCTTTTATACATTTCTCATGGCATGCTGACCACAATAGCTTTCATTTGGCTCAGCTTTTCATCTTCCCAGGATAGCAAATCAGAAGAAAGGAAAGCTTTGATACAGGGTCTGTATGTTGATGTCAGGGTATTACTGTGAACCACTCTACCTCATGTACATACCAGTTGCTTGTCACAGCTGCCTTAGAGGATCAAGATGCCAGTATTAGCTTCTGTTGGCTCACATGCCTATTCTTGTTGGGGAGAAGGGCTTAAGTGCAGTCCCAGTCTGGCCTGCGTCTGAGGAAGGATTGCTCAGTAGAAAAAAGTAATATGTCCATGATAGGGCTCACAGTCTCTTACAAGAGAGTCTACACCACAGATTTGCTGCTATAAAAGCATCATTCTTTTCAGTCTCTCTCCTAGTCTCTCCTTCTGATCCTACCCAGTTTCCATGACTCCTTGACAATCCAGCCATATTCTTTTCTTTGCCTTTGTTCATGATATCCTTTCTTCTCCCACTTGAAATTTCCTTTCCATTCATCCCAAGCCAGGTATGGGAGCATACCTGCAGTTTTAGTATTTGGGAGGTTGAGGCAGGAAGATCCAAAGTTTGAGGCTGTCTCAACATAGCAAGACCTTGTCTCAAAGGGCAAGGCAAGCGCTCTACCACTGAGCCACCTTCCCAGCCCCAGGCCCCAATTTTTTTTAGGTACAATAATAAATGTCCTCCACTTGTACTGAGTCTTCTCTGATTCATATTAATCTCTTTTCTTTTTGAAACATTTATTTTTGCATTTAATTGCATACTAAGGCTGGGTATAAGTGGCTCAGGCCTGTAATCTCAGCAATTCAGGAGGCTGAGATCTGAGGATCATGGTTTGAAGCCAGCCCAGGCAGTAAAGTCTATGAGATGTGTACCTCTAGTTAGCCAGCAAAAAGCCTAGAGTGGAGCTGTGGCTCAAATGGTAGAGTGTCAACCTTAATGGAAAAAGGTAAGAGATAGTACCCAGGTTCTAAGTGCAAGCTCCAGTACAGCACACACACACACACGCGCAAAAAGTATGCTCAGTAAAACTAAAGATCAGAGGCCATTTTTTCCCCACACAGGATCTCCCTAAGTAGAAAACAAGCACCTAGAAACCATGATGTGTATGCACTTGCATCTAGTACATTAATGAATATGTAGTATATAACAATAAGGATTTTAAAATGTCTGTATAACTAAGCTAACAGGATGAATGTAAGTAAATTAGATCTTAAGCTTATCCCACTCTTGCTTGGTTTTCTTTTTATTGTTGGTCATGGGACTTCAACTCAGGGGCTAGGCTCTGTCCCTGAGCCTCTCTGTGCTCAATGCTAGTGCTCTACCCCTTGAGCTACAGCACCACTTCCGGTTTTTGAGTAGTTAATTGGAGATAAGAGTCTCTCAGAGATTTTTCTGCCCTGGCTGGCTTCAAACCACAATCCTCAGATCTCAGCCCCATGAGTAAGTAGCTAGGATTACAGGTGTGAGCCACTGGCACCTGTTTCTTGCTTGGTTTTCTTTAATCCCACTTTTTTCTTTTTCTTTTCTCTATATCTTTCTGATATGTAAGATATTTAGGGTATGACCTATCAGCTAGTTTCATCTTAATTTGAAAAGCTGTCCTAATTGGTATAGTGGCACACACCTGTCATTCCAGGACTCAGGAAGCTGAAGCAGGAGGATCACGAATTTGAGGCCAGCTTGGGCTACACAGTGAAACCCTAGCTCAAAAATGGAGAAGGACAAACATAGTAGCTCATGTCTGTAATCCCAAACATTCAGGAGGCAGGGATTTAGGAGGCTCATGGTTTGAGGCCAGTCCATGTAAAAAGTTAGCAAGATCCATGTCAAGCACTAAACCAGGTGTGGTGGTCACATCTTTAATCTCAAACTACACAAGAGATATAGATGGGAAGTCTGAGGCAAGTCTTGGGGGCATAATCTGAGATCCTGTCTGAAAAATAAGTAAAGCATGGCAATGCCCAAATAGTAAAGTGTCTGCCTAGCAAGTTCAATGCCCTAAGTTCCAAAGTTCTCTGAGTTCAAACCTCAGTACCTAAGGGGTGGTTCACAGCTGTAATTCCAGCTATTCAGAAGGCCTAGATGGGAGGGTCTGAAGTTTGAAGTCAGCCAGGACAAAGTAACTAGACTTTATCTCAAAGTACAAACAAAAGGGGTGGAGGCATGGCTCAAATGGTAGAGCATGTACCTAGCATATTTGAGTCCTTGGGTTCAATTGAAAATCTATTGGCCAGAATAACATGCTTGTAATCTTGTGATCATACCATTCAGGAGGCTAGCATGGGAGGATCACAAGTTGGAAGCCATCTTGGACTATATAACAAGACCCTATCTGGATTTGGGGGAGAGGAGAGAAAAAAGAAGCAGCAGGAAAGGGAAAAAAGAAAGACATCTCTTGCTGGAATAAGCTTTGATTTAGTATAACATCTGATTTTGTTCTAGCCAATGAAGAAAATAATAATGTGCCTCTTTGTCGAGCAAAACTTTCTCCCAGTCTCATTGATGTTCAAGCAACTTCTCTACCAGCCACTTTTCTGAACCTCCAGACAACAAAGCTACCCTCAGGTAAAGATGTAGGGAGGTTTGCCAGTAGACTCAGCAGGGAGAAGAAGTTTCATGGAGGAGGTTGGCTAACCTTTTCCCAGCTAGTGCCAACTGTGTGTGCAGGCTCACCTGGAGTTTTCATAATTGCTTGTTTCCACTTCATTGTAATTTGTTGATTATTCAGTTGATTTTATTTTCATCCCAGTTCTACCAAATTGTGTCATTTCTTTGTTAGAAAATCTCAATGCTTGCTAGTCATGTTAGTTAAAAGAGGCCAGGGAAGAAAATGGTTAACTAGCAGCTCAATATTGGTTTCTTTGACCTACTATTATTCATCCTCCCCCTGGGGAAGGCAGAGCATATTTGAAATATCTATGGGGAGCCCAGCCTTAGGCACTCATAACTGTTGGTTTTAAGGACCTCAGAAGAAGTCAAGACCAAAGAAGTATGCAGACCTATAATTGCAAAAGTTAACTGCATTATTGTAGTTGAAAACACATGCTGCTGTACTCTTCAGTTCACTGCTAATGAGGTACCATGTCAGGTATGAGAAGGAGGCTGAGGTGTCTGAGCTCTTAGAAGGAAAGTTAAAGCTGAGTGCTGGTGGCTTACACCAATAATCCTAGCTAGTCAGGAGGCTGAGATCTCAGAATCACAACTCAATACCAGCCTGGGAAGGCAAGTCTGTGAGACTCTTATTTCCAGTTAACCACCAGAAAACCAAAAAAGTGGCACTGTGGCTCAAAGTGGTAAAACACTAGCCTTGAGCAAAAAAACTCAGGGCTAGCTCCTAAGTCCTGAGTTCAAGCCCCATGACTGACAGAAAAAGAAGGAAAATCAGGCCTCATTCCCTGTTTTTTCACCCATCAACACTGGATGAATACTTATGATGTGCAGGTGTTCTTGATGCTGAGGACACAGCAATAGACAAATCATACAATGTCCTTGCCTTCCTGGAGCTTTATGTAGTAGAAGAGGGACCTAGACAAAGATTAAGTAATTACAATATGGCCAGGAATATTATGGGAAAAATAAATCCTTAAGGAAAGGGGAATGTGTTCCAGTGACTGGTTTCAAATTAAAACAGAAACCCTGGAGCTGGGAAGTGGCTCAGTGGTAGAGTGCTTGCCTTGCATACATGAGCCCTGGGTTCGAATCCTCAGCACCACGTAAGTAGAAAAAGCTGGAAGTGGTGTTGTGGCTCAAGTGGTAGAGCTCTCCCCTTGAGTTGAATAGCTGAGGGACAGCACCCAGGCCCAGAGTTCAGGCCCCACGAATGACCAAAAAAAGTAATAAAAATAAAAATAAATAGATAAAACAGAAACCCTTTGGTTTCTGGAAAAAAAAAAAAAGAAAGGAAAACAGGCTCTTTTGGGGGAAGGGCACCAGCAGAAAGAGGGAAGACAGAGAGAGTGAATGAGAATGAATTGGTGGAAGTAGTTTACCTGTATATATGAAAATAGAACAATGAAGCCTGGGTTGAATTGCTTTAGAATAAGGAAGAGTGATAGAAGAGGCTAGTTTGATTGGGATGAACTATACTCACGTATGAAAATGTCATAGTGAAGCTGGGCGCTGGTGGCTCACGCCTGTAATCCTAGCTACTCAGGAGGCTGAGATCTGAGAATCGCGGTTCAAAGCCAGCCCAGGCAGGAGAGACTGTGAGACTCCTATCTCCAATAAACCACCAGAAAACCGGAAGTGTAGCTCAAGTGGTAGAGCGCTAGCCTTGAGCTGAAGAGCTGAGGGACAGTGCCCAGGTCCAGAGTTCAAGCCCCACAACCGACAAAAAAAAAAAAAAGAAAAAGAAAAAAGAAAATGTCATAGTGAAGCTTCAATTCCTTTTTTCTTTTTTTGGGTCCAGTCGTGGGGCCTGAACTCTGGGCCTGGATGCTGTCCCTCAGCTCTTCAGCTCAAGGCTAGCACTCTACCACTTGAGTCACAGTGCCACTTCTGGCTTTTTTCTTTTTGCTTATGTGGTGCTGAGGAATCGAACCCAGGGCCTCATGCATGCAAGGCAAGCGCTCTACCACTGAGCCAACTTCCCAGCCCCTCTTTTTTTTTTTTTGTCAGTCCTGGGGCTTGAACTCTGGGCCTGGGCGCTGCCCCTGAGCTCTTCAGCCCAAGGCAAGTGCTCTACCACTTCAGCCACAGCAACACTTCCAGTTTTCTGGTGGTTTATTGTAGATAAGAATCTCATGGACTTTCCTGCCCTGGTTGGCTTTGAATGGTGATCCTCACATCTCAGCCTCCTGAGTAGGTAGGATTACAGGCATGAACCCCGGTGCCTGCCTGAAGCTCCAATTCTTTTACAAATAATGTCTGCTAATTTAAAAAAATCATAAAACAGTCGGGCGCCAGAGGCTCATGTCTGTAATCCTAGCTACTCAGGAGGCTGAGATCTGAGGATCATGGTTCAAAGCCAGCCTGGGCAGGAAAGTTTGTGAGACTCTTATCTCCAATTAACCACCAGAAAATCGGAAGTGGTGCTATGGCTCAAGTAGTAGAGTGCTCGCCTTGAGCTGAAGAGCTCAGGGACAGTGCTCAGGCCTAGAATTCAAACCCCATGACTGACAAGAAAAAAAAAATCATAAAACAAACAAAAACCAGAATATAGCCAGGTAAGCTTCATTGAGAAGGTGACAGCTGAGCAAAAGTGTGATTTGTATTGTGCCCATGAAGATTAGATAGAGAACCTTATCAGAGCTCTCCCAAAAATTTCTTTCCTTTTTGTCCCTTTGTACATTTATTATTCTACTTTCAGGAGTTGAGGCTAAACCCAAGGAATGCCTAGGACTCCTAGACTGTATGTATGTCAACCTCCAGCTTCAGACTCAGCTTGCTGAACAACAGATGACCATTTTGGAAAACTTACAAGCATCTGTGTCACAACAAATTCCTGGGAAGGAAGGCAAGGACTCATCTGTCCCAGCCTTAGCTCCTAAACAGCTGTTAAAATCACCCGCCCCAATTCCATAAATGAATTGCGGAAAAAATGTACTGTGCATGTTTTTTCCCTCTCTCTTTCCAAAAGCCTCTGGTAGAATTTATGTCTGCATTCTTCTCTCTCTCTCTCTCTCTTTCTCTTTCTCTCTCTCTCTTTCTCTGTGTATGTGTCTCTGTGTATAAGGGTGTGTTTATATATTTTGAGAGTTGAACCCAGGGCTTTTATGCTAAGTATTATGCTCTACCATTGAGCTATGCTCTCTGAGGCCCTAGACACAAATATTCTACAAATGATTAATTCACAAGTTCAAAATAAATGTTAATTGACTATGCTGAAAATGAACTACACAACTTGTGGTTGGGGATAGGAGGGAAAAACTGGGAGAGAGCAAGGGAAGGGGTGACATTGTCCAAAAAGAAATGTACTCTTTACCTAATGCATATAACTGTAACCCCTCTATACATCGCCTTTATAATAACAATAAAAAATTTAAAAATGGCAATTGAGTACTAATCATTGTGTAAGGCACTTGGGGATACATATATCCTAGGAGATAGTTGGGGGGGTTATTTACTGCCTAATGAGGTGGTAAAGATAGATACTTAATTACAAAACTGAAGAGGGATGGAGGTTAAAAGATAACATTGGATGTTACTAAGGAAAGAGCACAAAAGCTCAGGACAGTGCCCAGGTTCAGAGTTCATGTCCGAACTGGCAAAAGGAAAAGAAATAAGGAGAAAAGTCCTCACCCCTTGAATATAGAGTGTGAAGTAGAATGTAGAGAAACTCAGAGCAGACAATTCAACTTTCCACATGGGATTATTCAGATAAAGATTGTTAGAAGCCAATGGCAGTTGTCTGGTAAGGCTGAGGTATACCTAAGAGAGTAAAAATACTATGGGAGGCTGGTAAGTGGCTCAGTGGTAGAGTGCTTGCTTTGCATGCATGAGACTCTGGGTTCAATTTCTCAGTATCACATAAGCAGAAAAAAAGCTGTAAGTGCACTGTGGCTCAAGTGGTAGAGCACTAACCTTGAGCTGAAGAGCTGAGGGACAGTCCCAGGCCCAGAGTTCAGGCCATGACAGACAAAAAAAAAAAATACTATGGGAGATATTTTAGTATGGAAGGAGAATGGAAATGTGCAGAAAGTGGTATTAGCAATCTGATGTGAAACTACTGTGGTCTGGATAAAGAGTTTAGAATATGAATCAGGATTGATAAAGAAGGGTCTTAGAGCATAGGCACTGGAGGTTCATGCCTCTACTCTGGAAGCTGAGATCTGAGGGTCACAGTTCAAAGCCAGTCTGGCAGGAAAGTCCATGAGACTTTCATAAGGAAGATGCAGTGTTTAAGTTTTCTTTTTTTTTTAATTTTTTTTTTGTAGGTCGTGGGGCTTGAACTCTGGGCCTGGGCGCTGTCCCTCAGCTCTTCAGCTCAAGGCAAGCGCTCTACCACTTGAGCTACAGTGCCACTTCCGGTTTTCTGGTGGTTTATTGGAGATAGGAGTCTCACGGTCTTTCCTGCCCGGGCTGGCTTTGAACCGCGATTCTCAGATCTCAGCCTCCTGAGTAGCTAGGATTACAGGCGTGAGCCACCAGCGCCCGGCTAAGTTTTCTTAATGTACAAGTTACACCTGGGTGTCAGTGACTCATGCCTGTAATCTTAGCTACTCAGGAGGCTGAAATCTAAGGATTGGGGTTCAAAGCCAGCCAGGGCAGGAAAGTCTGTAAGACACTTATCTCCAATAAACTACTCAGAAAAAGCCGGAAGTGGTGCTGTGGCTGAAGTGGTAGAGTGCTAGCCTTGAGCACAAAGAGGTTCAGGGACAGTGCCCAGGCCGAATTCTAGTCCCAGGACTGTCAAAAAAAGGGGGCTGGGAAGGTGGCTCAGTGGTAGAGCACTTACTTTGCATGCTCAAGGCCCTGGGTTCGATTCCTTAGCACCACATAAGCAAAAAGAAAAAAGCCGGAAGTGGCGCTGTGGCTCAAGTGGTAGAGCGCTAGCTTTGAGCTGAAGAGCTGAGGGACAGTGCCCAGGCCCAGAGTTCAAAGCCCCACGGCCGACAAAAAAAAAAAAAAAGGGTCTTACAGAATTCTCTCTCTCTCTCTACACACACATACACACACACACACACACACACACACACGTCTGGGCACTGTCTCTGAGCTTCTTTTACTCAAAACTAGTGCTCTACCACTTTGAGCTATAGCACTACTTCTGGCTTTTTCTGAGTAGATAAATGTCTCATGGACTTTCTTGCTTGGTCTGTCTTTGTACCATGATCTTCATACCGCAGACTCCTGAGCAGCTAGGATTATAGGCCTGAGCCACTGGCGCCCTGGCTAGTTCTAAATTTTTATACAGAGATTTGAGCTATACAAAGGTTTGCAGTTAACAAAATTTGGCAAATGGTGCACTTAAAATTGGTGTATTGGGCTGGGAATGTGGCTCAGTGGTAGAGTGCTTGCCTAGCATGATGCACGAAGCCCTGGTTTCAATTCCTTAACACCACATAAGCAGAAAGAGCAGGAAGTGGTGCTGTGGCTCAAATGGTAGAGTGCTAGCTTTGAGCAAAAAGAAGCTAAGGGACTGTGTCTAGGCCCTGAGTTCAAGTCCAGGCCTAAAAAAGAAGAAATAAAATAAAGTCGGTATATTTCTTTTTTTTTTTTTTCATCGGTCATGGGGCCTGAACTCTAGGCCTAGGTGCTGTCCCTCAGCTCTTCAGCTCAAGCTAGCGCTTACTACTTGAGCCACAGAATCACTTCTGGCTTTTTCTGCTTATGTGGTACTGGGGAATTGAACACAGGGGCTCATGCATGCAAGGTAGGCACTCTACCACTGAGCCACCTTCCTAGCCCAAAATTGGTATATTTCTTTTTTTGGGGGGTCTGGTCGTGGGGCCTGAACTCTGGGCCTGGGCGCTGTCCCTCAGCTCTTCAGCTCAAGGCTAGCCCTCTACCACTTGAGCCACAGCGCCACTTCCGGCTTTTTTCTTTTTGCTTATGTGGTGCTGGGGAATCAAACCCAGGGCCTCATGCATGCAAGGCAAGAGCTCTACCACTGAGCCACCTTCCCAGCCCCCAAATTGGTACATTTCTTTGAGTGTAACTTTTTGTTTTTGTCGGTCATGGGGCCTGGGCACTGTCCCTGATCTCTTTAGCTCAAGTTGAGCACTCTACCACTGAGCCACAGGGCCACTTTTGGTATTCTGGTGGTTTATTGGAGATAAGAGTCTCACAGATTTTCCTGCCTGGGCTGGCTTTGAATGGTGATCCTCAGATCTCAGCCTCCTGAGTAGCTAGGATTACAGGCTTGAGCCACCAGTGCCTAGCTCCCTGAGCTTTTTTTTTTTTTTTTGGTCATAGGGCTTGAACTCTGGGCCTGAGTGCTGTCCCTCAACTCTTCAGCTCAAGGCTAGCGCTCTACCACTTGAGCTACAGCGTCACTTCTGGCTTCTGGTGGTTTATTGGAGATAAGAGTTTCATGGACTTTCCTGCCCAGATTGGCTTTGAACTGTGATCCTCAGATCTCAGCTTCCTGAGTAGTTAGGATTACAGATGTAAGCCACCGGCGCCTGGCTCCTGATCTATTTTAGTCAAGGCTAGTGCTATACCACTTGAACACAGCTCTACCTGCAGTTTTTTTTTTGGTAATTATTTCAAGAGTCTCACAGATTTTCCTGCCTAGGCTAGCTTTGAACCACAATCCACAGATCTTAGCCTCCTGAGTAGTAGTGGCCATGAACCATCAGTGCCCAGCAGTAGTTATATTTTAAGACAGATTAAAAAAAATAGCACAGATTGTGTCTGGGGTTCACTTTAGGATGACTCAGAGCCAGGCCAGTAGCTGATGCCTGTAATCCTAGCTACTCAGAAGGCTGAGATCTGAGGATCAGTGTTCAAAGCCAGCCAAGCAGGAAAGTCTGTGAGACACTTATCTCCAATTAACCACCAGAAAACTAGAAGTAGTGCTATGGTTCAAATGGTACAGCACTTGCCTTGAGCTGAAGAGCTCAGGGACAGCACCCAGGCCCAGAGTTAAGCCCTATGACTGACCAAAAAAAAAAAAGATGACTCAGATACATTCCATTGGCTTACAGGTTGCTATATACAACTTCTGGGTAGCAAAATTTTCCCTGTAATAAGATTAACCTGGAAGTGGCACTGTAGCTCAAGTGGTAGAGCGCTTGCCTTGAGCTGAAGAGCTGAGGGACAGCGCCCAGGCCCAGAGTTCAAGCCCCAAGGCCGACAAAAAAAAAAAAAAAGAAGATTAACCTATGATTTGTTCCCTCTTATACTGTTTGTCTTTAGGATATGGTGAAAGTAAAGTTCAAATGTCTTTGGAGCCATACTTGGTGATATATGCATATAATCCAAGCATTTAAGAAGCTGAGACTGGAGAATCAAGAGTTCTAAGCCTTGGGAGTGGAGCTGTGGTTTAAATAGTAGAGCACTAGCCTTAAGCAAAAGAAATTAAGGGACAGAGCCCAGTTCCTGAGTTTAAGTCCCACAACTGACAAACAAAACAAAAACAAAAGCAAACGGGCTAGGAAGGTAGCTCAATGGTAGAGTGCTTGCCTTGCATGCATGAGGCCCTGAGTTCGATTTCTTAGCACCACATAAGAAAAAAGAAAAAAGCTGAAAGTGGCGCTGTGGCTCAAGTGGTAGAGCACTAGCCTTGAGCTGAAGAGCTGAGGGACAGCGCCCAGGCCCAGAGTTCAGGCCCCATGACTGGATCCCCCAAAACACACACACACACACACACACACACAAAGAGTTCCAAGCCTTGCCTGGCACTGGTGGTTCCCGCTTATAATCCCAGCTTACTCAGGAGGCTGAGATCTGAGGACTGAAGTTTTAAGCTAGCCCAGGCAGGAAAGTCTGTGAGACTTTTATTTCCAATTAACCACCAGAAAATCAGAAGTGAAGCCTGTGGCTTCACTTTTTTGCTCTACCAAAAGAGCAAAAGAGTTCAGGGACACTTTGGGGAGTGTTGCTACCATGTAGGAACCCATGGTTTAAAAGTGGCTCTGGAGAGATGATTTTAGGTCCTTACCTAAAGGACCTAAGGATTTGTCTGTCAAGAGTCACTCACCTCCAGCCTTATCACAGGAGGTCCAGCTCCTCCAGGAAAGCATT